TCATGGTATGATGTGTTGTGTCAATGTGCGTTATGTTGTACTCGGCTATGTTATGGTATGTTGTGTTATGTCGTCTTCTGACGTTATGTTTTGCCATGTTCTGTCATGATCGTGTTCTGTACTGTAATGTTATGCTGTGTCATGTTGTGTTCTGTCGTTTTCGTCGTCGCTATGGTATGCGTTCGTGTTCTGATATGTCATGCGATTCTGTGTCATGCTGTGATATGGTATGTCAAGGTGTGTTATGCTCTGATAGATTATGCTATGATATGTTGTGTTATGTCGCCTTCTGCTCTGTCATGTTCTGCTCTGGGATGTTATGTGATGTTCTGCTACGTATGCTCTGTTTCGTCATGACATATCTATGTTGTGTTCTTCCATGGCCTGTCATGCTCGAATTATGTTCTGTCATGTTTTGTTGTCCCATGTTGTGCTCTATTGTGTTCGTCGTCGCTATGCTCTGCTGTCGTGTTATGATGCTGTCTCATGGTATGATATGTTCTGCCAAGGTGTATTATGGTATGTTCGGTTATGTTATGTTATGTTGTGTTATGTCCTTTTCTATTATGTCAAGTTCTGCTATGATCGGAGGTTGGGGGGTGAGTCCGACGTGAAACGGAGACCCCCCCTTCTGGGAAATCGATTTCGGTTTCGGGTTCGTGTCGTGCGTGCCGTGCGTGCGTGCGGGCGAGACGAAGCTGCGTGGGCGGGCGAGAGGACATCCTCCTGTGGCTGGGCCGCGGCCGGACCAAATGTTCCTCCTCTGGCGGCCGGTGCCGCGCGGTGTCCCGCCGGTGTCCCGCGGGTGTCCCGAAATCCTCCTTTGGCTGTGCCGAGGCCAGCGGACGGTGCCGCGCGGTGTCCCGCCGGTGTTCCGCTGGTGTCACGCGGTGTCCCGTGGTGTCCCGTGGTGTCCCGTTGAGTGAGATCGACAGTAAAATCGATGGTGAGATCGATGGTTAGTGAGATCGATATTGAGATCGATACTGAGATCGATATTGAGATTGATGTGGTGCCCCGAGATGTCCCGTGGTGTCCCGTGGTGTCCCAAAAAGTGAGATCGATAGTGAGATCGATGGTGAATTCGACACGTGTCCCGTGGTGTCCCGTGGTGTCCCGTGGTGTCCCGTTGAGTGAGATCGATAGTGAGATCGATAGTTAGTGAGATCGATATTGAGATCGATGTGGTGCCCCGAGGTGTCCCGTGTTGTCCCGTTGAGTGAGATCGATAGTGAGATCGATAGTGAGATCGACAGGTGTCCCGTGGTGTCCCGTGGTGTCCCGTTGAGTGATACCGATAGTGATATCGATAGTGAGATCGATGTGGTGTCCCGAAGTGTCCCGTGGTGTCCTATGGTGTCCCGTTGAGCGAGATCGATAGTGAGATCGATACTGAGATCGAGAAGTGTCCCGCTGTGTCCAGTGGTGTCCCGTGGTGTCCCGTTGAGTGAGATCGATAGTGAGATCGATGGTGAGATCGACAAGTGTCCCGTGGTGTCCCGTGATATCCCGTGGTGTCTTATGGTGTCCTTTTGAGTGAGATCGATAGTGAGATCGATAGTGATACCGATAGTGAGTCCCGTGGTGTCCTATGGTGTCCCGTTGAGTTGAATCGATAGTGATATCGACAATGAGACCGATAGTGAGATCGAGAGGTGTCCCGCGGTGTCCCGTGGTGTCCCGTTGAGTGAGGTCGATAGTGAGATCGATTGAGTCAGATGTTGGTTCCCCCCCTCCCCCCACACAACCTCCTTATCACCCGAAGGTTATGCTCTACTTTGTCATGATACTGATATTGTCTGTTCTGTCATGTTCTGTCATGCTCTGTTCTGTTCTGTCATGTTCTGTTCTGTCATGTTGTGTTCTGTCGTGTTCGTCGAGGTCGCGAAGCGGGACACCCAGGACTCTCGGGGACCATAGGGACAACTTAGGGTCTGGCGGCCGCGGTACGCAGGGTGGGGTTGGCCAGGCGCTAGGCGGGACGCCCAGGACTCTCGGGGACCATCGGGACAACTTAGGGTCTGGCGGCCGCGGTATGCAGGGTCTGGTTGGCCGGGCGCGAGGCGGGACACCCAGGACTCTCGGGGACCATCGGGACCTTTTAAGGGGCCCGTTCTTGAAATCTAACAACCCCAACCTGTCGGGTGGGGAATTAGCGGCCGAGGCCCCGCAGGACAGGAGGGAGGGGAGAGGGAGGGGACATGACAACACATCATCAACATCATTACCTCGAAGAAGGGAAGAGGAGAGAGAGAGGCTCGCGTGGCGGCAGCAGGTGTGGCCGTGCAAAAGTCGTGGACGAAGTGGGGCCCCGGGGCCCGTCGTGGGAGGGTCCTCCCCCTTCGGGTCCCCTGGCCTCTCGGGGCCAGTGTCTCGGGGGCGCCCCAAGGGTCCCCATTCTATTGAGGCGCCCTTGTTCAGCAAAAGGCAGCAGCTGAGAGGCTCTTGGCCTCCCAGATGGGGCCCGAGTAGACGGGGTCGGAGGATCGCGCCGCATCGCCGATGCATCGGCGATGCATCAGCGATGCAGCTCGATGTGGGGCCCAATTTTCTCCACGCCGACGTCGCCGATGCATCGTCCGCGTCGCCGATGCATCGCCGATGAATCGGCGATGCTGCGCGATTCTCCGACCCCATCTACTCCGACCCCATCTAGGAGGCCTCTAGAGGCGAGACCGTGTGGTAGGGCGGCAGAGTTAAACATGCAAAGCGTATGTGCCGAGGCAGGCTGTGGGCACAAGGCAAGTGGAGGGGCTGAGGCTGGCAGTGAAAACAGACAGACTTAACCCCAGGAAGCATTTAAGAACCCCCCCCCCCCTTCCGGCAAATCGATAACCCTTCCGCACCCTGGAAGCGTTACCTGGCACCAGGAGCCCTCCTCCTCCTCCTCCTCATCCTCCTCCTCGTTAGGAGTCATCAAATATGCTTGCGAATATTAATACTATTATCATTGCATGAATTTTCCAAGCAGCAAGCGACATCCTGAGTCTTTCATGAGAGCCACGCAGATTAGAATTTCGAATTTCGATTGTGGCCCAGGGGCCAGGCCTCCGCGAATTTGTTGTGTGTCCGGGTGCTAAACCTATCGTTCGGTTATTTCGGCCCCTCGGAATATCGAATAAAAATGCGGTGCTAAGATATCGCCGGGGGGGTTCTTAAATGCTTCCTGGGGTTAGGGGAGGGCGAATTGCGGTGGAGGTGGCGGTGGAGGTGGCGGTGCAGATTAAAGGTTTAAAGTGAACGCGGTGACTATTCCGCGGGGCCCACTGGGGTGCCGCTCGAAGAGGAAAAGGAAACCCATAGGAAACCCCACAGGCGTCCCAGAGGCCGACGGCGGGATCCCTCGCCTGCAAGCAGGCGTAGGGTTCCCAGCACGTTGGCCTCGTGGCCGCGCCTTGGGGGTTTCCGCCGACAGTGAGGGAGGTTTGGGCCCTCCCCCTGTGGTGGCACTGTGCAAGACGGCCACACTCGCCAAGGTAGACGGCATACAGGCCTCACCCCATGCACATAGGCAGCCCCCCAAAGCAGCCACCATCCCCATGATTCGTCCCCTCCCCCGCTGGGGCACGAGCAGAGTACCCAGATCATGGGAGTGGTGGTTGCTTTGGGGGGGTCCACCGTGCGTGGGGGTGGTTTCTGCCATCTGTGGCGGCGGGGCAGGTGTGTGGTTTGATGGCCGTTGTTGGCCCTGGTGGTCTGATGGCCGCTGATGAGGCCCTGGTGGCCGCTGCTCTGATGGCCGCTTGGAGGCGGGAGTGGAGGTGCCCTGATGGCCGCTGCCATAGTAGCTAGTTGCGGCCGCGGTCGCCCTGGCCCTTGCCAGGACGCCCTGCGGTTTGTCCGAGCCCCTTCCCTTCCTAATCTATGAGGCGACCCGTGCCCAACCACATGAGGGGGGGTGAACAGAAGGTTAGCTGGGTGCGGTGGGGGGAGATGGGGCTGCGAGCGGCAGAGCCAGGAGGTTGGGGAAGGTTGGAGGTTGGTGAGGACCTGTAGCTTAAACCAGAACGATCGCAGTCGCCACTGATGTCCACGATGTGTGCTGCCAGTGCCACTGATGTCCACGCTGTATAGTACTCCCGTGACACACTCCCATACCACCAGTTGTGCTGTTTCCGTTTTTACGGTGAGTGCGTACATGTCGGTTCGAGAATAGTGTAGAGGTGGGAGTGCGTGCGTAGTATTGTGTAGCAGTTGGTGGTTTTGTTTGCAGCCGCAAATGTATTATGTAGGAGGAAGCGCAGCCGCCGTTAGGCAGGTCCCATCGCGAGGCTTGTCTCGTGTTGTGGGCGATTTGGTGTGAGTCTCCTGATTCGCCGTAGGTTGGTCGAGTCGTGCTGGTCAGGCGGGTTAGTTTTGACGGCGTCTGAGTAGGCCGGCCATTGTTTCCACGGGTCGGGCCCGTAGAGCGGGAGGGCCTCCTAGTCCGTGTGATGCTGGTCACCCTGGTGGATGATGCTGTGTTGTCCATCTGAGGGCGGTGTCGTGGTCGTCCCTCCTCCTCCTCCTCCTCCTCCTCCTCCCCCTCCTCCTCCTCCTCCTCCTCTTCCTCCTCCTTCCTCCTCCTCACTCCTCCTCCTCACCTCCTCCTCCTCTCTCCTCCTTCCTCTCTCCTCCTCCGCCTCCTCCTCCTCTTTCCCTCCTCCTCCTCCTCTCCTCCTCCCGCCTCCTTCCTCCTCCTCCATTCCCCTCCTCCTCCTCCTCATCTCCTCCTCCTCCTCACTCCTCCTCCTCTCCTCCTCCTCCTCCATCCTCCTCCTCCTCCTCCCCCCCCCCTCCTCCTTCTCCTCCTCACCCCCCTCATCCTTTCCTTCCCCTCATCCTCCTCCTCCTCCTCTCACTCCTCCTCCTCCTTCCTCCTCCTCCTCCTTCCCTCCTCCTCCTCCTCTCCTCCTTCTCCTATCCTCCTCCTCCTCCTCCTCCTCCTCCTCCCTCCTCCTCCTCTCTCCTCCTCCTCCTCCTCCTCCTCCTCCTCCTCCTCCTCCCCCCATGCATTGGAGGCGGCGGCGGCGCTGACGGCCGCAATCTCGGACGCGGAGCTGATGCGCCGCCTGGGGAAGGCGGGCGTCTGTGGCGGCCCGCGCGCCCGCACGCGCGCGCAAGCAAGCCTCCGTGCGCCGGACGCGCCTCAACTCGCGCGCGCGCGTGCGCGCGCGCCTGCTCTCGTGCCCGCCCGCGGAAGGTCGGCCTGCCATCCTACCCGATGATGGTGGTGAGCAGGTGCGTGGCCCTGTGCTCGGCCGCCTTCGTGGGGCAACTGGGCGACACCTCCGCGCTGGCAGCGGTGGGGCTCGCCAACGTGGTCACCAACGTCCTGGCGGCGAGCAGCTGGGGCCAGGGCCCAGGGCCCCCCCTCCACCTCGTGGTCCCCCACCCCTTCTCATCGCGGAGAACAGCACGACGTGCGGTTTTTGGCAGTGTTCGGCATTCGGGGGTCCTTGCCTGGCCCTGGGATTGTCAAACAGCAATTACGGATGAATAGCCAATCCCGGGAAAAGGGGTGACGCAGGTCGGGAAAGTGGCCGGGATGGGGAGGGGCCCGTCAGAAGGCATGGGGTTTTGTGCGGGGACCGCCCCCACCTCAGAGGTTTTGCGAGTGCCTCTGCGCAGGCAGGAGCGCTCCTAAGAGGCGCGGCCTCTCCGCATAGAGCCCCCACTCTCGCCCCGCCCCTGTGCTGCGCGCCACCAAAATATCACCGGCTACACCTGGCTCTGGGGCCTCTCGGGGGCGGTGTCCACGATGAGCGCGCAGGACTGGGGCGCCGGGAATTACCGGGCCGTCGGTGTGACGATGCAGCGTGGCTTCTGGATCCTGGTCTGCTTCGCGGATCTGCCGCTGATCTTCGTCTGGCTCTCTTCGCGGCGCCTCCTGGAGGCTGTGGGGCAGCACCCAGACGTGGCGAGGCTCGTCGGGCTGTACTCCAACGTGCGGTTCCCCGGCATCCTGTTCATGACCGCGAACGTGGTACTGACGCGTACGCTGGCGTGCATGAGCAACATCAGGATAAACCTCTTGGCGAGCCTTGGGGTCGCAGTACTCAACGTGACGCTCAGCGCCACGCTGATACCTCGGCTGGGATTCGTCGGTGCCCCGATTACCGCCACTGTGTGCGACGCCGTAGAGACGATCATCATCACCATTCTCGCGTTCCAGGACGCGGACTTTCGGAAGTGCTGGCCCGGGATCCAGCGGGACGCCTTCAGGGGCTGGTGCGCGTTCTTGCGGGTGTCTTGCCCCTCCCGGTGGCGCGTCGCAGGGGGGCAGGGAAACGAAGGTTGCTCTCGAAGCCCGCATACAACCACGGGTTACAGATTGAGCCGGCCAGGAGCCAGGATCTGTTCCCCGATTTTCATTTGATGCTAGCGCCCTGGCGCCACCGCCTAGCACCGCGCAGAGCCGTCCCCCAAGGACGACACCGGCGCAGTCTCCAGTCTCGAGTTTCCAACCGGCCTGCGAGAGACGTTCCGGCCTCCCGCGAAGCCCTCTTGAAGCTGTCGAGAGTGGGGCAGGGGCCCTAACAAGCCGCCGACCTTCACAGAAGGCTCCCCCCCCTTCGCCCTGGCCTTTTCTCGTGAGCGCCGCCGGCCCTCGCTGGCGCTGATGGGCATCGAGTGGTGGACGTGGGACCTGCAGAACCTCCTGGCCGGCCTCGTGTCGCCGCTCGCGCAGGCCGGGCCGAACGAAAGGGGTGGATAGAGAGAGGGAGGGCTACGAAATCTGTTGCGTGCAGCTGGTTTCGGCTCCGCCGCCGGGCCCATTCCTCGATATATCAGCGCCTCCCGGCGCCGGGTGGCGCCGGGAAAATCAGCTACGTGAGCTGAGTCTCTACCCTACCCTTTGCCCGCCCTCCTTCTGGCTGGGCGGGGCCTGAGGCCTCCAGGGGAGGAGACGAGGAGGAGGAGGAGGAGGAGGAGGAGGAGAGGAAGAGGAGGAGGAAGAGGAGGAGGAGGAGGAGGAGGAGGAGGAGGAGAATGAAGAGGGAGGAGGAGGACTTTCGTTCTGCCCGAGCAGGCCACGCAGGCCGTGACCCCTGCGCTCACCGACCTGCAGTACTGCCTCGGACAGGCCCTCAGCAACGCGGCGGCCACGGTCGTGGGCAACCTCCTGGGCGAGGGGCGTGCGAGGGCCGCCGCGCGGTGCTGCCGGCTGGTGATGCTGCTGTGCTTTGTGGCCATGACTCTGCAAGGCTTCAGTCGGGCCTGTCCTTCTCCAGGAGGAAAGTCCAAACATAGTTGTTTTTAAGTTTGTTTTGATTATTGTGGATTATTAGTTGAGTATTTTTGTCGAAAATCGGCCTGTAGGGGTACATGCCCGACCTAATGCAAGGCTTGCTGTTCCTCCTGCTGCGCCACAGCATCGCCCGCGTCTTCACGCAGGATCGGGAGGTCCGCGACAGCATTGAGCGCTTGCTGCCGCTGACGCTGGTCTTCAGCTTCCTCGACGGCAACCAGGCTGCCCTCACAGGGATCATCCAGGCCGCCGGCAGGCAAGATGGGGCCCAGGAGTCGGTTCCCACGCTGTTCCTCCCCTCTTCTCCCCCGTCTTCAACGTTTCCCCCATAAGCATTGCTCGCCGAGCGCGTTCCACTTCTCGCAAAGTGCCTACTCGCAAACGTCCGAACAAAAACACGTTCGCCTCGATGTAACATATCGTAGATCCCCACAGCGGATCCAGGCCATTTGCGAGTAGTGACCTTGCGAGTAGCGGAACGCGCTCGCCTAACGCGCTCGCGCTCGGGAGACTTGAGGAGGCGAGGAGGTAAGAGTGCTGCGGATGGACGCCTGAGCCCCGGAATACCTCGCGGCACCGCTGCTGCTGGTCTGCTACTGGGTGGTTGGCGTGCCGTTGGGATTGTGGCTTGCGTTCGGGCAGGGGTGGGGCCTGGAGGGCCTGTGGGTGGGGATGCTGGTCGCGGTCGCGCTGCACTTCTAGAAGAACAGTACACCTACACTAACATGAAGCTTCGGAGGTCCGAGGGGATTCCTGGGGTCGGCGCTGGATCCCTCACGGCACCCCCGGCGCCGCCCCTGGCTCGTTTCGCGCACCAGCAGGGGCCCAGCCCCGACCCAAGGAGTCCGCGTGGACCTCCGGACAGTTCATGCTCTGAGGAGGAGGAGGAGGAGGAGCAGGAGGAGGAGGAGGAGGAGGAGGAGGGGGAGGAGGGGGAGGAGGAGGGGGAGGAGGAGGGGGAGGAGGAGAGGAGGAGGAGGAGGAGGAGGAGGAGGAGGAGGAGGAGGGGGAGGAGGAGGAGGAGGAGGAGGAGGAGGGGGAGGAGGAGGAGGAGATATTTATTTATTTATTGTTTTATTTATTTGTTTATTTATGATTATTATCATTATCATTATCATTATTATTATTACTACTATTATACGAGTTGCGCAACGCAGGTGCAAGCCTGGCCGCAATGTATCACAATTACAGTTCAGGAAAGGCCATCCCCGACATCGGGGGCATGCCACGAGCAATCCTAGAGAGCACATCTTTGCCCATACGAGTGGGACGCTCACACGGCTTCAACAATTTACGGGCCTGTTTTGCACACAGCGCTCCACAACGCGTGCAAAACAGGATACCACGATACACCTCCAACAGATGAGAGGGGTGAATGTCAGCAGTACGTGGGTGGGCGAGAGCTCCCCTCTCAGCAAGGGACGGCTCCACTTGATCTGGATGGTGAGGGTCCTCAAAAAGCCTCGTGAATGGGGCCGTCTCACCTCTGGGCTTACAAGCGCACGGCCAGAACACATCAAGAAGGTCGCGCTGGTTGAAAGTGCGCGCACGCCGAGTACACCAAATGACACGCGCGCGCACCTGCACCTCGTGGCCAGCCTCCCTCATACGACGACAACGAACCTCCAAAGACGACTCCCCACCTCTCCTCCTCCTCCCCTGTGGCAGGCCCACGCGCGGGGCCTGGCGGGGGGGGTGTCGTGAACAACACCTCCCGCTGAATGGCCAACAAGCGCGCGACCACCTGACGGCCGAGGCTGTCTGCAGCCTCCGTGGCCTGGACCTGCTCTGGGGGGAGGGCGTGGGAGAGGACGGCCTTGGCGGCAAAAAAATCCGCAGCACGATTTAAATATAATTCTCCAGGCCTAACGCCCAGATTATCAATCTGGTTCTGGGTGGGGTGAGCCTTTGTCCACAGAAGGGTCACCACACCAGGCTCTGGGAGAGCTCAGCGTGAACCAACGTCCACAGATCTAACATGGAGGACTTCTTTTTTGCGCTCAGGAGTTTCCGACAACCACGGCACACAGGGAGGCAGTCAGAATAGACAGTCACATCGCCAGCCGTCCTGATGAGAAGTTGGCACACAGCATACAATTCAGCACGGACCGAACTCTGCTTGGGCGTGGGCAGTGTGCCAAACGCCACCGCATCAAGGCCTCCATCAGGTCCACGACGACACATAGACCACCCGCACCTCCTTAGCCTCCAATCCTTAGTGCGTTCACCACCTGATCCATCCACTCCCCACGTCCCTCCCGAACCCGATCCTCCGTAAGACATCGGCCCCAGGTCCAGGAGAGGTCGAGGGGAGGGGCGAGGTGCCCAACAGAGATGGGGAGGGGAACGAGCCCCCTGAGCCAAAGGCAGGAGAGGTGCTCTTCATTCTCAGCACATTCACGAAACCGATCGGTTTGCTGGACAATCTGATCAGGGGCGTCTGAGTTGCAAGGGCACTGCCAAAAGCGGTGGAGCGGCGGCTCCCTTAGCAGTGCCACGCCGCCCGCAGAGGCCCCTAGTGCTGGACTCATACCCAGCATCCACCAGTCGAGATTCAGTCCAAAAGGCAGCTGAGGCAACATTGCGGATCATAGCTGCCGCATCCAACTCACCATTACGGCTATTTCGTTTTCAAATTGCTCTGCAGCACCGTGAAATCCACCCCTCGTTGGACCCCATCTCCAAGGTAATGGGCAGAGGCACGCTCCCAAGACATTTTTGACAGGTATCAAGCAGGGCTCCCCAACAGGCATGGGGAAAGACAGGGTCAGTGATGCGGAGCTCTCTCTCTCTCTCTCTCTGGAGCGCCACAGGACGGCCAAAACACGGGGGAACGTGGTCGCCAAGACAGGTCCATGAGCACCACAATCGTGGCAGCGATGGGGCCTTTGACCCCTCTCCAACGGTGGCCATCTGGCACCATGGAGAAAACGCGCACAATCTCATCCCAAGCTCTTCCCACTCCATGTCTCTGACGGTGGGACAAGGATTCCCAGATCTGAGCTAAAGACATCAATTGCTCATGGCGAAGCCTGAAATGGGGATCATCCCTCGGCGCCGACACCAATGAGAGGACAGTGGTGGTGCAACCGCCCGTGGCCCAGGCCCCCGAACAGAATGCCGCTTGGGCCCTCATGGCCTGCACCTGCGCCGGCGACAGACCAGGGGCTTGATGGCCCCAAGACCCGACAGCGAGAATTTCAGGCTTATAAAGCTTGGAGGCCTTGCCCACGAGCTTGCACAGGTACTGGGCCTTCCTAGCCTTGCGGTAGGCCACGCGCCTGCGGGCTTTAACGTTAGTGACATTGCGACGCGTCCCAGCGGTCGTCATGGTGCCAAGATCCTTGACCGCTTCCACGGGGTGGATCGGAATGGCGGCAGCCTCGAAACGACGGCTGAGCTCATCGCGGAGAGACGCGTGAGAAGCGACGAAGGCACTCTTCGTCGAGATGGCACAATCGAGGGCCTCAAGGCCTTGCACAAGCTGGGCAGCAGCAGGCACAAGAGAGTCACAAATGGCAGAAACATCAACTCCATGCTGGGGCTGTGAGATGTCGTCCACACACGACCGAAGATTGACAAGAGAGAAAGAGCGATGGGCATGGGAGATGAGATCATACAGGTACATCTTGACCCATGACATCGACTGGGAGCAACCCGCCAAGATTCCAGTCGCAGCGGGGATGATGTCAGATGAGAATCCACCAGCCTCAATAGTGCGAGGGGCAGTGTGTATCAGCATGCCAAGATAAAGCATGCGCGGGGGGTAACCAAGCCGAATCCCAAAACGGACGAGGATTGCAGGGTTGGGGGAGTCAAAGAACTTGGTGAGATCCCAGTGCAGGGCAGCCCAGAATCCCCCGAGGCACCGAGCAACCTCGTGACCACTCCCCCGCAAAAGAGCAGCTCTCAAGGCGCTGCTACCACGCGCGGCATCGCTCCAGAAATCAACATGGGCAGCCTTCCAATGATCAATGTCCTGCCACCTCATACGGCAGTACAACCTATAGGCTGTGGGGCGCTTGCATATGGGCGCTTGCATGTGGGCCTTGCATATAGAGCAATGACCCCAAGAAGAACCTGAGCAGGCCACATCCTGGCCCTTTCACACCGGTTTAAAACGCCAGCCAACACCGAGTTGGCCGTTTCGGAGAGGCCCAGGAATATGCGCGGGGCCCAATGGTCAATGCCGACAGGGATGCTACCAGAAAAAAACACAGGCACCCTTGAAAACATCAGCAGAAGTGAGCGGTTCCAACATGTCAACCGCTTCCAAAGCCAAGGGCCGTAAATCAGAGAGAGCCTCACTTATAGAAGCACGCTTGCAATCTTCGGCTTTCCAATGACCCCCTCCAATAATCAGTGCGATAATCCATGAGGTCCCCAGGGAGCTGCTCGACGCCGTCTGGGGCAACAAGGTATTCAATCTCTTCAACAAAATCATAACACAACCAAGCGTGCACCTTCTTCGCACCGTACGGGAGGGCTTTAAGAAGCCGAGCTTTCTGTCCAGCCTTAGCAGCAGAGTAGGCGGCCTTCCAGGCCAACTTAAGACTGGCAGATGCGGAATCGCAGAGAGCGGGAAGCGCCGGGCCATCATCGCTAGACAGGGCCGCTAGCTGAGTCCGCCACCAGGCAGCCACTTGCGGGGCATCTCCCGGCGTAAAATGATCACTAGTTGGACCGAGTCCAGCAATATGCTGAGCAAGAACACGGGCGCGCGCATGCCCACGTCGACGAACAGCAATCTGAAACTCAACCGGCTGCTGGGCTAAGTGGGACCAGTGGCATAACATGGGATCCTGGAAACTCTGGCCGAGATCTCCACTATTAGCAAATCCTGAAAGCTTGAACTGAACACAACCACCCCTCTCAGCGTCGAGCTCCACATCATGACTGGCAGCAGCGCGGGATTTCAACATCAACTCGGTGGCTGCAGACCAGGCTCGGTACATATGGGTGATCTGAGGCGACAGGTGGTCGACAACGTGTCCCACAAATGCTTCCGGGAGAGGCCCAGGTAGTTCAACAGGGTCCGAAACCATAATCCGCGCGAGGTAGTGTTCCCAAGGAAGATCAGGACCAGGACATACAGGAATGGGTGCTGGCCGACAACGCTTCCACATCACCTGGTCTAGGACCTTCGTCTCAATATCAATCTTCAGACAGGCATGGGTCTTGAAAGGGGGGTCCTCAAAGCCAGCGGCAGAAACATAGGGCCCAAGATCTGCGCTGACCACGACGTAATCAATGAGGGAGCCCTTCCCCTGTGTGCACGTGATCTCCAGATTTGAGGGTGGGAGGAGGCGAGACCGAGTGAGCTGGGGGAAAACAGACAACTGCATATCCTCAACAGAGAAGTTACAATATCCCATTATCAGCCAAGGTATGGAAAGCGCCCCAATGAACGCGCTGCGTTCTTTCATCTTATCAAGGTTCTCACCGGCAACCCCCAGGCCGGAGAACATATAAACGACCCCTGCAGCAATACTGCAGGTCTTGGTTTTCAGCTCCAGGAAGAACCAAGCAGTCCCCGAGGCAAAGTCCTGGGCGGTTTTGACCAGTGACAGGAAGCGCCTGAAACTGAGGCCTCGGCTAACCAGAGCCGCAATACCCCCATGGGTTCCACGGGGACGGGAAAGCAGACTGGAAGTGACGTCGCCATCTCATCTGGGACTTATTGTTTCTTTAATTTTTTTCAAATTATCGCCAATCAGGTGATGCTCGGCCAGGAGAAAACCATCGCAGAGGGCCCGTGCGCGGGCCGCAAATCCCTGGGCCAGGGCACTCCAGGAAGTGATGCTCGCAGAAAGCAGGGTGACATCAGACATGTCAGACTTGGCATGGGCGGCAAGGGAATGGGCCGAGGCAGGGGCATGTCCGTGCAGGGCCCCATCGGTGAGGGGCGCCAGGCTGCCCCACCACTGCAGCGCCAACATCGGCCTCAGGTGCCCCGCCGTCTCCAGCAGGAGTTTCGAGGCGAGCGCCAGTCTCAGCTGGCCCATCGCAACCGGCGCGCGGAAACAGAAATGCGTGGACAGACGGTGTCGAGCGAAGGCGCGTTTTTGATGGCTACCCAGGCGACCCATTCAAGCCTGCGGCCCCCGCGCCTGCAGCCGACGCCTGCGACGGCGGCGGCGGGGCCCAGCCCGCCTGCGCCAGCAAGCGGTTGAAGGCGTCCTCCACCTCGGCACCCGCGACGCGAGCCCTTTTGGCGCCCTTGACGCGAGCCTGCTTGGACATGAGCTTCTCCATGCGATCAGCCCCCTCAGGGGTAAGGGCCTGCTCCGAAGACCTTGCGGATGTCAGCGAGCTCCTTGGCGATCTCGTCAGGCTCGCCGACAGCGAAGCACGCGTCAGACATATCTTAATCAAGCCCACCTGCCACTTGAGTCTGCAGCTCGCGCATGGCAACCCAGTAGTCGTAGGACTGACTATGAGCAGCGCACGAAGAAGATGGTGTATGTGGAGCACCCTAACTCTGGAGTAGCTCCACCTGAGAGAAGTGAACTTAACCACCGCCAAGCCGATCAGCGCGAATCCGATCCTGATCTTGTTGATGTAGCGTTGCTAAATTGCCCCACCGGGGTACGTAAATGAAAATGACCAGCACGAAAAGTGTTGATCGCGAGGGCCTGCTTCGTGAAGGACGCCATTGAATTGGCGCCCCCGGTCGGGGGTGCATTGCGCGGCTTCCAGAAGGTGACCAACGTGAGCGTCATCAGAAAGACAACGAGAAGAGCACTGTGTCATCAGGAAGACGACGAGACTAGCATTGTGCCCAGCCATCCCTTTGTCCTCGGAGGACGGGGGGGCCAGGCGCCCCGCTTTGCGATGATGGGCCTGAGGAGTGAAGGGAACGGTTCCGATCTCTCCCGGCCGCGCCGTCAGGAAGTAGCGGAGGCGAGACCAGCCAGGGGCCTCCGCCGCCGTCGCCGCTTCCTGGGCTTTTTCGGTGCCGCGGAGCCGGCTGCCCCGTCAGCACGCTCGCTGCATTCAGTGAATGTGACGCACTCTCTGCCATCTGCAGGCTCGTCGTCGTGGTCGTCGTGCCCGAGCACGGCGCTGCTGGCGTCGTCGGTTCTGCCGTCGACCCCAAGAAATGCACGGCATTCCGCTTCGAGGTAGCCCCCAAGGGCCGCGAGGTCCGGCTGGAAAGCCGCCGCCTGCAGCGGCCCGAGGAGTTCTAACAGCCGATTGATGCCGTGGTCAAAGTGCTGTGGGCATCGTTTTGTGTTGGGGCCCGAGATGAGGACCCAGTCAGCTTCCCTCTCGCACTCGACCGTCCAGTAGTCGAAGTCGAGGACTTGCTCTTCCAAGGTGAAACTGTAAGAGTCGAGCTTCCGCACGAGGCTTCTGATCGTGCGCAACAGGGCTGGTTCGACGTCTTCGTCGTCGTCCAGCCACGTTGGGCGGTGCTCAGGCGCGCCGTCGAAAAGCGCGAGCTCATCCATCAGCTTTGCCATCAGCCGGGAGAGCTCCGCTTGCATGGAGGTTGCATGCGCGGCGAGCGAGATCCAGTCGTCATCAGGGCGAGGACAAACTGCACCGCATGCCGTGGATAGGAAAAATTAGAACCAGTAGTACAGATCTGGATCGCATTCGCCCACATTCGGAAATGCAGGGCTTGGTAATACAAGACAGTCTTGACGATACCCCCCGTCCGCCGAGAAGTCGGATGAGTGGCCTCCAACCGCTGTCTTGTCCCCATTGGAAGAAGTGCCACCTCCCCGTAGTGGATCGTCGTGCCCAGTCGCATCTCCCGCGACGGGCATGAATTCGGTCGCAATAACAGGTATTGAGTCTGTTGCAGTAGACGCCATAGTAGACGTGGTACTCGAAGATACCGCTTTCACCAAGATCTGCTTCGAGCGAGGGGCTCGACCCACCAATCCCACTGGGCGGGCCTGGGTATTGTTGGTTATGAGCAGTACACCAAGCACGTAGGTCTCCATCTGTGGCGCGAGCGAGGTCCGAAGGGGCCATGCCAGCGGCGCCTGGGACAACACCTTCAGGTCGCGCTTTACCACCGCGGGGTACGCCAGGTGCAGGCGCAGCGGGACGTGCCACTCCACCACCTGGGGCCGCAGCGCCTGCAGCAGGAGTGGCAGTAGCTTGTTGGCGCTCGTGTTGGATCTGAGCCACCTTGTAAGCCTTCCAAGTCTCAGGCATGAAACCCTGGAGTGCAATATCGGCAGCCTGACGGGCAACCTTTGCATTGTGGAGCTCCTGCGACGCCTCCGCCAAGGACGCCTCGGCCTCCCTGAGCTGGACGCGGAGCTTATTGCACTTCTCCTCACGGAAACTGATGTCCTGGTGCGCAATCTTTTCGGTGCGCGCCGCAGCCTCCAGTTTTTTAGCCAAGTGAGTGCGCTCCTCACGCGCACCTGCATCGAGTTGAGATTGGCTCCATTCAGCAGGGACCGATGGAGCTGGTGCAGCCATAGGCTCAAGGTGAGCTCGTAGTTCAGGGTGAGCTCGTAGAAGAAGGGTAGCAGCTTGACGGACTTCATCAGTAGCTGCAGGTGCTGTTGGCTCCTCGTCATAGTCCATTGCGCACTTGTCAACCTGCGCATCCGATCCGAAGTATAGACCACCACGCTTGGAGCAGCATGAGTGTCCACGACGATGGTACTCCCAATGGTAGAATTTGCTGCAAACGCTGTAGCCACTGGAGGGGCGGGAACATCTCGCCCGCGACGACCACGGCCGCCGCCTCGTTTTCCCCCGAAGTCGACATACTTCCAGGAGAACCTCCACGGATAATATGAGAAGCCATGGACTGCATCGGCAGAAACATCCTTGCGCCACGGTGCGCCGCGGGCCATGGCGCTGGGAAGCTGTACGGTGAGTGAGCAAAAGGCAGATGCCAGGCCTCAAGAGGCCTTGCCAGCCGCGGTGAGAGCGGTGTCCGTACTGGCACGGAGGCGCGGAGCCCCCAACGTGCAAACATTTTGAGCCAAAATGGCTGCGGTCGGAGGAGGAGGGGGAGGAGGAGGAGGAGGACGAGGAGGAGGAGGAGGACGAGGAGGAGGACGTCGTTGTCTGTTCTCCTGACTTCGCCTCCTTCGCCGTGGCGGCGTGCCGGCTCGACCTGGACGAGGTCGCGAGGGAGGTGCAGGAGCCGGGCGTTGCTGGATGTGCCCCTGGCCCAAGGTGCCCCCAGGATTCCCAGGGAGGCCCCCACGGCCCCCAGAGCACCCCTCACGAGGCCCAGAGGGCCCCAGAGTGACGGGCCTGTTTTCCACCACCACCACCAGAAGTTGGAGGGGGAGGGTGTCCTCCTCCTCCTCCGCCTCCTCCTCCTCCTCCTCCTCCTCCTCCTCCTCCTCCTCCTCCTCCTCCTCTTCGTCCGCCTCCTCCTCGTCCTCCACTTCCTTCCCCCTCCGACGTATGGTGGTGGTGGTGGTGGAAAACAGGCCCATCGCAGAGGGCCCCAGGGGCGCCACGATGGAACGCAAGGCTGGGGGCACCTCGGGCCAGGGGAACCGTCGGCAGCCCCCGCAGGAGCGTGCCGCGCTGGAGCGGCAGCGGAGCCTCGACAGGCGGCAGGGCCTCCCGCGGGAGGGGGGCAGCCCGGCCGTCGGGCGCTGCGCGGAGGGCGGCCCGGGGGCGTAGGCCGCCTCCGCCCTGCGCCCCCTCCTGGTCAGGGGCGGCGCCGGGCAGCGGCGGGCGCGGGTCAGAGGAGGAAAGGGTTGAAGGGGCCCTGGGACACACAAATAAATACACACAAATAAAAGGATCCCCCATATTTTCCCATATTTTCTGGGTTTTTGTCTTCCCCACCACTTCCCATATTTTCCTATATTTTCTGGGAATCGCCGATTAATTGTGTCTGTGTGTTTCTTTCCCTCCTGAAGGGTACCGATACCGCCGCACTTCGCCCGTTCTCCCCCTTCTCGGCCTCCTGGAGGCCCTCGTCGCCACTGCCGGATTCGCCTCGGGGGGATGCCGGACGGGGCTAGGACGAGGATGAATCCGTTCGAGAGTGCTCCGGAACGCTCTCAGAGCGTTCTGGACCGTTCTGAGAAGGCCGCAACGCCCATAAGACATTCTCCAGGGCCGCCGGATTCCAGAGATTCCCAACATATCCTCACCCGATGTTATCATCGTCCTTGCTTCGTCTTAGCGGGTGCAGGGGGGGGTGAAGCACCAGCCCCCTGTCGCCCACTCATCGCCGACGGGCGCCTGGTCCCCCACCCCGCCAGGACCGTGCGGTTTCGCTGTCGGGGGCCTGTCGCTGATCTGGCGGCGATGTATCGCCGATTCAGGCTCCATGTTCCTACCCCCTCCCTGAGCCAGTCCCCCCCTCTCGTTTCCTCATTGGCGGCGCGCACAAGGGGGTGACGCACTCACCGAGCCCCGATCCTGCGTGCAAGGATGCAGTCCACAGAGGCTTGCCGATGCTCTTAGTTCGGGGCCTCATGGTATATCGAAACAAGCCTGAAGGCACGCAGAGCCAGGGCAGCGCATTCACCGAAGGCGAGAGGCAGGGGAAAGCGGAGCGGTTCCGGCAATATCAAGCACTACTTGTAATGACACAACACGGCGACAAAGGGATGGCGCTGGGGGGCGGCCTTCTAAGAAGACAGGGGTGGCTTCTTGGAAGACACGGGCCTTCCAACAGCCTCGGGACAATTTCTCCCCAAGCGGCACCGTTTCCCGGCGAACAAGCGCAAGAGAAAGGCATGTTTTTCGTCCCAGCCACGTTCATCCTGTTCCGGCCAACACATTGATCGTTCGCTTTGGGAGAAGCCGCGGCGAGGCCGCAACAGTGGGGGGGCGCGCAGGAGCCAGAAAAGCACAATCATTCGACAGCACTTGCACTCAACAGCGACGACTTTTGGAAAAGCTCCCCCCGCACCCTATTCAATTGTAAGTACAGGACCCGCTGCGGGGACCCCTTTGGGTCATCCACTCCTTTAAGTCAATTTTGTCAAGGTCGGTAGATGGAGGCTGGTTTTGGGTGTCTGAGCTGAAACATCACAATCTGCTTGGTTTGCATTGGTTCGGTCTGGTTTGGCTGGGCGCCCCGCCTGAAACATCCTCAGAGTTTGCTGGTCTGGACCCTAGTTTGGCCTGGCTCGTGCTCGCAATTTGCTTGGCTTGTCTTGGTTTCAGCGCATTTTCGCTTGACATGTCCTTACAGTTTGCCTGGTTTGATTTTGTTCCGGTGCGGTCTGGTTTGGCCTGGTCCGTGGGTGGTTTCGACAGACGTTCTCGCGATTTGCGTGGTTTGATTGCGATTTCGTTGGAAACGTCCCCACAATATGTTCGACATGTTCTGCTTTGCGATGGCTTTCCCTGACGTTGTCTTGTTAAGTGGTTTGGTTTGATCTGGTTTGGGCGGCATCTCGCTGGAGATGTCGTCCACATGTGCTCCGCGATGCAATCAGCGTTGCTCCAAATATGCGATGCAAGCTCTGCGGTGCAACCCCACATCGTCACCAATGATGCGGTTTAAGCTATATGGTGCAAAGTCTGTGGTGGAATCTACGTGGTGCAAGCTATGTGGTGCAAGCCTGCATCGTCGCAAGTTGTATGGTGTAAGCCATGCTGGTACCAAGTATGTGGTGGTAATTACGTGGTGCGAGCTTACATCTTCTCGCCCTCGGTAACAAGTGCCTTCTGCAAGCCATGTTTGGCCCACATTGTCGCAAACGATGCAATGCAAAAACTAGACGCCTCGCGTATCCCCACCAGAGTATTGGTCGTCGCTAGTTGGCAATCTCCTGACGGCGCGCGGCTTCTCCGCTTGCGCTCGCGAACGAACAAGTATCCCCACCAGCCCATCTAGAAACGATGTCCAGGCGAGTTGAGGTGATCAGGGAAGTGCGGGAGCAAAGAGGTGTACGGCCGAACCGAGCGAAGGAGGGAGGAGGAGAAGGAGGTTGGATAGATGGATGAGGGAGTGTGGAGAAGGAAGGTGAGTAGGATGATGATGATGAGGAAGAGAAGGAGTACGAGGAGGAAGGAGGAGGAGCAGGGCAAGCAAAAGGGCTAGAGGTCTCTTGGATGCCTCTCGGAGCCTCTTGGGATATCTCTTGGGCGCTTCTTGGAGGCCTCTTGGGACGTCCTGGGGGTCTCTCGCGGTCCTGGGGGGCTCTTGGGCGTCTTGTGTGCCTCGGGGGGGGGGCTCTTTGGGCCGCTTGGGGTCCAATTTGGGGCCTCCTGGGGGCCTCTTGGGGCCATCTTGGAGCTATCTTGGGGCCATCTTGGGGCCTCCTGGCGCTTTTTGAGGCCATGTTGGAGGAGATCGATCAGAGAAGGGGGGGGTCAATTGGAGTCAATGCACCCCTTACGCACCACCATTATTTCGCCCTGCCTGTTTTTTTTTTCCTCTCTCTATCTCTCTTTTTCTCTCTCTCTCTCTCTCTCTCTCTCTCTCTCTCTCTCTCTCTCTCCTTGCACGCGCTGTCCGTCTGCTGTACTCACTGGCTTATTCTGCTCCCGCAGCTATACACTTTGGCGCTAGGGAAACGGAAAAGGAGCGAGCCTGCGGCGCTCGCGCGTGCGTCGGCCGGCGGACCGGCCTCTTCCAGTGTTACCTTAGTGTATGTTTGACGGCACTATCCCCTCTTACCCATGTCATCTGCGGAGCCCACTGATATCTCGTCGGAACTTTTTGCAGGGATTATGAATCTCCAGGCAAAATATTGGTTCTTAGCCGAAGCGACGGCGATCCGCTCGGTTCGCAGAGCATGGGGTCTCAAAAGGAACGCTCAGGCGAACAGAATATCGAAGACCTTCCGAGCGCAACGCAAGTACAAGCGCCTCAGCGAGGCGACAAAGCCCGCCTAACCTTCTAGTAATAAAGCATCAGAGACTATGTTCGACTTAACAGAAGGGGATTCGTCGGTTGATTCAGCGACAAGATCCAGATAACAACACTCGAGCGGTAGGTATGGCGCAGCCAAAACTTCCGCCGAGGGACCCTCTGAGTTGGTGTCGGCGCGCCCTGACATTCAGCCATCGATCGACATATATCTCGACATGGAGAAGTTGTTGGATCATATCCCCATCGAAGCATCAGGCGCCGGAAGTCATGGGCGCCGAGCATGTAGTGCAAGATACGTTGCATGGACAGAGTGAGGATGTGAGGGATCTGCAATCTGAAGGGGACATTTCCCATTCGATAGAAAAGAATGAGGAATATGCCCAATTCCACACCTCGCCTGGTCCGTCGCGTCATCTCGAGCCTCTCTTTGATATGCGTGTCGGTCTCGCACCTGACCGTGTAAGGATAGAGGCAAGTCACAAAAAAATCCTTGATTCGGACGATGACTTTAAAGACGGAGAAAGCCCAAATCAAGCTCATTGGCAAAGCCGATATCGAGCCACCCCGACGCAATGCGTGCAGTGAGAAATACGCTTGAAATTACAGGCATTACTCTCCGCCCGCTTGCGAAGAAACTGAAGGGTGCCTCGCCCTTATCGCAGGGTTTTTACAGTCCAGACTTCTCATTGCCCAGAACAAACAGAGATAGAGTACCAGATCTTGATGAGCCCGTAATACAGGACGGAAGAGACGAACTGGCAATGAGCATGGACGTCGACAACATCAAGAGGGGCGTCAGGGCGAGCGAACAACACGCGCTTACCCTAAGCAGCGAAAAGGGGGGCACTCCAGCCAGGCCCCCAGGGCCGAGCGTTGCAGTTCCAGAGGGTTTAATGCCTTTGATCCGCCGCGAATGTCATCGAACAGAACTGCCGGCAGCTTCTCGACGCGGGGGGGCTGCCGGAACGCCGGACCAACGTGCCCCGCTCGGGCGGAGAATCGGTGCCCCGGGAGAGCGCGCAGTCGACGGCCAGCGTGTTCTCCATGTGTCCACGTGCGAATATTTGCTCCAAATGTAGCCTAGAGTGGCTTTGCGATGAGTGCGTCACGATGCATTAGCGCAACTGCCATCGTCTCGCGATTCGAGAGTGTCGCGGAAAGAAACGAACAGGATCGAGAGCAGCTGAGGGCTGCGAGGGCGCACATGCAACATATATTCTCTGAGGCACAGGTAAATGAGATGGCCGCCGAAGAGGCTCGCGGACAGCTCGCGGCTTCC